GTAATTACATGATAATGATAATTTGATTTAGTGTAAATTATTAAAAAAGTATTGGGTTTATAGTTTGTATTATTTTTGCTAAATTTTTTTGTTAAATTTGATAGTTAAAGTGGATTAAATTAATTCTATGAAATTTATCATATATTTTTATATGCTATTTTTTATTAATTATATAAGCTTATCATAAGAAATTTTGATTTGATTCTAAGATTTTATTTTATATGATTCTAGAAAATTTTTTATTTCATATGATTCTAGGATTTTTTTTTAGGTTTTTTTATTAAAACCTTCTTAACTTATCTTATAATTTTGGTTATCGTAAGTGGTACTTTTTGCATTGTTCAATTTGTGATTCTTTTGTATTAAACAGTGCTAAAGAAAGGACGGTTTAGCAGGTACAAATCGTACATTTTAGCATCTCAAGCAACGCAAGTGGCGTATGTCGACTATCTATGCACAAAACAAAATCGAGGTGAGTGGATGGCAGTTTGCAAAGTTCAACCAAGAGGGTGTGTAGACATTGAAAGTCCAAAGGAAATCCAAGATGCAATGTTACAGGATCCTTTCCAACAAAGTGTGACAAACTCAACTAGCATCATAGTTATTTCGGAAAACCATGATGTTGTAACTCTAATAGGTGAAGGAAATGCAGATTTTGAAGAAGAAGAAGATTTAAATTCTGAAAATATGGAAGAAGAGCCTATTTTAAGTTCTGAAGTTTCAATGGAATCAAAAGAAACAACAAATAATGAATTTGTAGATAGTGAAAACAATTCAGAATAAAGTATACTCTTTTTATTCTTTATATGTATTTAGTTTCACTTCCTAATAATATTGTTTCTAATGAAATTAAAATATCTTATTTTAACATTTTTTGTATGTGCAGATGACAGATAAAGGCAAGGGTAAAAAGCAAAAGAGCTCGAAGATGCCATCTTTTGTATAGTCTCTTTACGTACAATCAACGTAATGCGAGAGTGGTTCACAAGAAGCCCCTGCTGAGCTTATTGGTTGTTGGGACTAGGTGATTCAGTTTTAAATGTATTACAATATTTCTATACGCATAAGTTATATTCTTAATATTCATATTATTATAGCATTGAGTATCTAAAACATACGGGTTATATGTATCTATATGTATAGCTTCTTATAATAATCCTCATCTTATATGTATGTATAGTTTTGGAATTCCAAAGAATTTAAGCAAGAATCTGAAGTGAAGAAAAAGAATAGAAGAAAGGGGAGGAATGAAGGCGTAGCTATATGGACCTATACTGGAGGGTCGATTCCTTTTTCTGAACACCTTGCGCGATTGGTAAGTAATGAATAAATTTATATGTTAATTAAAAATATGCACACATTTTTTTGATAAGTTACAATGTTTTTTACTCCGGGTATATTGTAGGCTCAAAAGTCTGAAGCTTCAATAACCGTGGTGGATGCTTTCAAGCACACCAAGACGAAGAAACATGATGGAAAAACATGGATAGATCCAGAAAATGCACAACTTGAGGTAAATGCGAATTATGCATACTTCTTATTAATTAAATTTAAATACAATGCGACAATGTGATAATTATATATACTCTATCTGTTTATTATATATTGATTATGTATATCATTATACATGCTGATTTTGTACAACTGAAACAAATGGCTGAGGAGTCGGGACTTCAAGTCACGGATGAGGAGATTTGGTTTGAGCTAGTTGGTGGCTTTGATCAAAAGAATAGGATTAAGGGAGTCGGTGATCTTGCCGAAGTAATGAAACCCCTTAAACCTAGATATCAAAGCAGAAGAAATATCACTAGTGATATTTTAGAGATTGAGCGGCTGAGAGCGGAGAATGAAGTTATGAAGGCAATGTTGGATAAGATTGAATTGACAGTTGCTGAACAAATTCAAATGATGTGTGGTGGAAATCTTCCGATACCTCGAGACCCTGACGATGGAATAGGAGGCTGAGGAACTGGTTGTGTGGCATGAATGACGTATGACGATTATGTGTTTTATTGAATATTGTATTGTTATTGAAACTGAATTTCATTGAATTGTGTTTTAATAAATATTGTGTAGTGATTGACAATGAAGTGAAAAAAATTTGTGTTTCATAAGAATTTGAAAAATACTGTAATGCTGTGCTGTTTCACTGGTGTATGGTTTCATTGTATTGCTGGTTACACAGAAATTATGCAGAACCTGTTCAGTTTGCGACGGATTCAACCCGTCGCAATTTCCGTCACAAGTGATATTAAATTAATAATAAAAAGGCTGTCGCAGATACTGTCACAATTTGCGACGGATTACTAATTCTGTCATAGAATACGGAATTACGCTTCCGTTGCTAACACCGTCACAGTTCTGCGACAGATTTATGTTTCCGTCGCAAATATCAGAAATGCGACAACTTTTTTGCGACGGATTTATTCCGTCGCACACCTGTCGCAATTTCTAACTCTGCGACAAAAATAAAGGATTTGCGACAGAATTTGTCTGTCATAGATTTATCAAAATTTTGTAGTGGTAGGTCCGCCACTGCCTCCCTCTTAGTGTATTTGTACAGTTTAAATAAACTTTGAATGACATAATAAACTTTAAAGGCCAATTAAATAAAAAACAGTAATATATATTACTATAAAAATGATTTAACTAGATTCAATTTATTTAGAACTTTCAAAATTTCAATTCAATATATTAGTATACAATACAGGCGGAGAAGAATGGATTACTAAATTCCATCTTGTTTGATTCAAAAAAGTCAAACAAGAAAAGTACACTAGGACAAAGAATAATTATTTAAAAATGGAAGTAAAACATGAAAAAAGTACAAAAATATGAGTTCCATGTTTTTTATTCCAAAACTAGTATCACACCCATGCGTTGCACGGGTCATAGTTACGTTACTAAATTAATATCATTTTTAGGAATATAAATTGGTATATAATGGAATGTAGAGACTTTATTATTTTAAAGTACAAAAGTAAAATGATTAAAATTTCGAAAGACTTCTTTATAAATTACATTACTCGTATAATTCTGTAAGCATTCATTTCGTTGTATATTAGAATCTTTTAAGCTATTGCGATTCATTAATCTTGAAACTGCAACATACAGTTGCCCATGACAAAATACCGGTTTCCGTAACAATAATTCAACATGTTTCAGATATTGTCCCTAAAAATAGTTCAATAATTTGACTTATCTAAGCAATAATTCAACATATTAATGTATTTATTTTGGAATTTGTAGTTTTTTAATTTTATTTTCGTATTTAAATGGTACCATTTATTTACCCTATGGTATTTATTTTCTATTTTATTTTAGATCACTTACCATTTTTACATGTATCCATGCTTGTAAATTATAGTATTAATAGCATTAGTTTTAGAATATTACCATTGTTACATGTTTCCATGCTTATAGTATTAATTTATAATTTTTTTTATTTTTGCATTTAAATGGTACCATTTACTTAATGTACTGTATTTGTTTTTTAATTTATTTGATAACACTTATCATTTTTACACGTTTCCATGCTTGTAAATGGTAGTATTAATTTGTAGTTTTCTATTTTATTTTTGTATTTAAATGGTATCATTTACTTACCGTACCATATTTATTTTCTAATATATTTTACAACACTTACCATTTCGATGTTTATTTTATTTTCTAATTTATTTAGAACACTTACGTAATTTATTTTAGAACGCTTACCATTTATTTTATTTTTGTGTTTAAATGGTACCATTTGCTTATCGTGCTGACGTACCGTACCGTATTTATTTTCTAATTTTCTAATTAGAACACTTACGTTTTAAAAAAAATTCATGTTTTTAAATTATAGTGGAATATTAAAGTATTAATATTAATTTAGAAATTTTTATTTAATTTTCGCATTTAAATCATACTAATTACGTATCGAACCACATTTATTTTCTAATTCATTTTAGAACACGTATCAATTTTAGATGTATTTTGTTTTAGAACATTTACCCAATTTATTTTAGAACACTTTCCATTTATTTTATTTTCATTTTTAAATAGTTCCAATTGCTTACCATACCATACCTATTTGTTTTCTAATTTTCTAATTAAAACGCCTCTGTCCGGCCGATCATTCCGCTGGCATCTCGCATTCTCGCCTTGTCATTTTTAAAATGTTTCCATGATTGTAAATTATAGTATTATTATTAATTTGTAGTTTTTTTATTTTATTCTTGTATTTAAATTTTATCAGTTACTTACCGTACCATATTTATTTTCTAATCTATTTTAGAAAATTTGCAATTTTTACACATCCGTGCTTGTAAATTATAGTATATTTTTGTAATAAATAATTAATTTGTAGTTTCTTGAAATAAATCATTCTAATCCCGCCCATACTTTATTAATTTGTAGTTTTTAAATTTTATTTAAATATTTAAATGATATTGTATTTTATTTCCATACTATAGTTCCCCAATGGTTCATTACTATTTAACTTAATTTAATTTGATTTAAATACTTAAATGGTGTAACATTTAAATAAAAATGAAAACATTCTTAAAATGGAAGAAAAACATTAAGGCAAAATAATTAAACTACCATTTGTGTTGTCAACACTTTCCATATATGAGTCTCATGTATGAGCGGAAAAACATTTATCTCTTTTTAAATAAAGTATGGATATGAGTACAATGCCAATATATAGTACCAAAAAGTACAATGGGACACAATGGGAAAAATCAGTGACTGGAAGAACGGCATGGCCGTCACACAAGATAAATTGTGTGATTGGAAGTGATTCAAGAAATTCAAATGGGAATTTTACCTAAATAGCATTAAAACATAATGACTTTTTCTAAATAGCACCATATGTGTTTTTTCCCCAATGTAGCACTTTTAGTCATTATCTATTAGTCTTTATTCAAGTAAATATTCGCAATCACTTGATATTTTTCCTCCTTCTGGATATTATTAAGTGTTATTTAGGGAATATTACAATTTAAGTACTATTTAGAGAAATAACTTAAGTTTTAATGCTATTTAGTAAAAATATTTAAAATTAAAAATATGAGGCACAAAAACTTTTGCAAAAGGAGAAAAGAAGACTACTTTTTTGGGACATCACAAAAGGTAATGTTAATTGCCGAATGACGATAGAGCCATAGAGGGAGTTAAGTGAATGTCCAAAAGAAGAAGACAAACATAAGAGAATCATTTATGAAATATTTAATAAAATATAATTGACGTCTAAACTCTAGCCTCTCAAGTAAAATTTGTATGAGACATCCAGAAGAAAAAATGTTAGTTTTTTCTTGATGAAGCAGCAGCCTGCAATATATCTTCTTCTTTTACTGAACTCCGTCGAGAAGTCTGCTTCTTAAGAACCCTTTCCTGCATTCACAAATACCATACAAATAACAGCAAAAGAACACATATATAAAATTTTACACAAACTTTCATTATAATTCATTAATTAAACCCTTTATTATACTCCTCTGTTTCACAAAATAGTTCCGCCCTAACTTTTTGGGCATCTCTCACTAATCATTTTTACTCACCTAGAATCCTTGGAAATACAGCCCATTTCTTATTTATGGCGGATTGAAGTTGTTTTGGAAATATTTTACGTGGAGTAGTAGTATTTTGTGGGATACGCAAGAAGTTAGGGCGGAACTTTTTTGTGAAACGGAGAGATCGAGTATATGGTTCATGCACTTACGTCGCTGAGGAGGAGGTCGCGAGGCTCTAGCATGTGGATCACTTCTCCCATTTTCGGCCTGTCGTTCGCATCCGGATCCACGCAACGGAGGGCAATGAGTATGATCCGTTTCATCTCCACGGGTGAGGGCGTTTCCTTCAGCTTTGCATCCACCAGTTCTTCAACTTTCTTGTGCTCCACCATGATTTTTATCCAATCTATCAAGCATTCCTGCATCAAGTATCAAGTGATAGAATTTATGTTAGAATATAAAAAGAAAATTTGAAATTACAATCAAAAGCTGGAGAAGCTTTTGGTAGAGTTTTGTGAGACAGAAGGAGTATGAAACTATAAGGGAACTAAGTAAAAGCGCATTAGGAATGTTTCACAAAGAAAACCGTCACCTCAGTTTCAAAAGCGGTGTTAAATGTGATTGCGTTTCCAGAAATGATCTCCATGATAAGTATGCCAAAGCTATAGACGTCGCTCTTCTCGTCAAGGTTTTCGGGGCATGCGCTTTGTGGTGCAAGAACATTATTGTGGTTCTTCCAAACAGAACCATGGTTCTTGGTTATACCAAAATCAGTGATCTTAGGATTCCAATGCCTGTCAAGAAGTATTTTTCTTGAACTTAAGTTTTGGTGCACCACTAAAGGCTCTGTATCTTCATGAAGGAAAGCCAAACTGCATGCAGTAACAAAAAACAAAACAAAACAAAAAAATTATAGTTTACAATACCATAATTGTATAAGAGTAACACATTAAGCTTAGATTAATGAACAAATTGAACCGTAATGCAACGAAACAAATTAAACGTACCCTTTGGCGACTCCAAGAATAATATTCATTCGGATGCGCCACGTTAACGGGCTGGTGTGGCTCGGGCAATCGTGAAGCCAATGCTTTAGAGTACCATTGTCTACATATTCATACACAAGAACCCTGTAATATTTTATGTCACAGATAAAAGTAATGGTCAGTTAAGTTTCCCCTCTTCTCACCTTTTGGTACCCCCCAAAAAAAAGTCTGGTTTATTTGGGAATAAAAATTATGGTACCTGTAAATTCCATCAGCACAAAAGCCAACTAATTTCACCAAGTTTCTGTGTCTTATACACCGAACTCCCTCCACCAATTTAATGAAGTCCTCAACTTTATCCCTGTTCATATATATATAACTTTTATATAATAAAAAACCACTGAACAAATAATGTTGTGGTTATTAAGTCTCATTTGTGCATTAATTACTAAGTATGTTGTGCAAGATGATAACTCCTTAGAGCAAATAATGAAACCAATTCTGAAATTGTACACAAAAATGAGGGTCCACACATGTAAGAGTAACTTATTATTCTTGAAAAATTGTTGTACATGAAATACTCCTATAACTTAATTTTATGAAAAAATGAGGGTCCACACATGTATTTATAAGTGAAATTTGCACTAAATAGGACTAAAACCTAAGTCATTTTCTAATGTAGGACTTGAACTTTTTTATTTCCTAAATAGTATTTAATAATGTCTGGAAGGAACAATGTCCAGTGATGGTGGATAATTACTTGAATAATGACTAATGGATAATGACCAATGATCCAATATTGGAAAATAGAAATATATGGTCCTATATTGAGAAAGTCATTATGTTTTACGGAGTAATTCTATTTAGGTAAATTTCCCTATTTATAATGAAAAATGAAAAATACATTGATTAAGGGCAAAGTTAATGAAATGACCAACCATGCACACTAACATAATTTGAAGGATTATTCATTAAATTTTTAGAGTTTTTTTTAGGGATAAAATTTTTGAATTGAAAAACTAACCGTGCATGATGCATTAATTTGAGGGATTAACGGTGCAATTTAGCCAAGATTTTAATTTTTTTAAACGAAAGAAATCTAATAAAATCATTTTGTATGGATATTTAATATAATACTCCGTACACATTTATTTGATAATTAAATTTTATCTAATTCAACCACAAAAAAGTCAAATGGAATAAATATATTCCAAAAGAGGTCAATGTTTGTAACTTTTTTTTTTGTTTTGAACTTTTGAAGCAAAACAATTTGTAACCTAGTAGGAAACAAATACCATACTCCGAGTATGCAGTGGCCAACCTGTAACAGAGCAGACGTTTGATAACGACTCGAGTTCGATCCAACAGCACCCCACGGTAGACGACCGAGCGCTCGCCGCAGCTGATCACATTCCCACAAGCGAACCCGCCCGTCGCCACCTCCAACTCCTCAACCGTGAACCGCTGTCTCGGCCGCCAGCAGCCCCCGCCGGACTCCACATCCCCGTCCATGAGCCCGCCGCTCGTTCTGCTCCCGCAGCGGCCGAGCTCGGGGCGTTCGCGGGGAAGTCGGGGCATCGGGTTCATGGACGGGGAGGAGGCCCCGGGGTTACCGTTGCGGGGCTTTTTGGGGCGGGAGCAGGAGAGGGCGATGAGGAGGAGGAGAGTGAATAGTGATATGATTAGGGAGGTGGGAATTAGAATTAGAATCCATAGTTTGATGCCGAAGAAGGGAGTTGGGGTGGAGAGTTTGTGGAGAATGGAGGAAGAAGAGGTTAAGGAAGGCATTGTTATATTCATACCGTACCTATCACATCATACTTTTTCACTAATAACTAAACTATCATATCTTACTTTTTCCTATCACATCAGAGACAAAATTGGAAAGTCAACCAAAATTACACTTTCCTTATTTTTCCCCAAAGTCAAAACCGGAAGGGTTTTGTGGAACGGAGGGAGTACTTCTTCCCTCCACGAATACATTTCCCATTACGCGTTAAACTAAAGTTATTTTCAAATCAATTTATATGAAAAACGGTGTAAAATTTAAAAATAAAAGTTTCATATGAAAAATATATATCAAAAGATCTACAAAACTAGAGGTGACATGACTATATTATTTTATTAAATGAGTGACGAAAATAGGGCAACAAAGTCAATAAAGTTTGATCCTGTGAACGGAAAGTTTATTTGTGAAGGGAATAGTGTGTATAGTAATTTATTAGAAATTTAGAATAATGGTTATATGATGAATGAATGAATGGATTATGAAGAGATTGAAGAAGTTGAGCGCAAGTGTGCAACTCAACAGCTATTAAAACGAAAGCAAAAAAATTCAAATCAGCGGAATAATCTGGGCGTAAGCGGCGGGCAGCTATGGATTATTAGGCACAATAATCCTTATATTATTACTCCTTATGTCATTCTTACTCAGAAGTCATAAGGCATTTTATAAAATGTTTTTTTATTCTCAAAATAAGATTATTAGATTATAATTTTTTTGGTATTATATGTTAAATTTTAGACATTGTGAATATTATTCTCGGATGAAAAAACATAAGGTGTCTTTAATTTATTTTTATTGCCATGTTTTAGTCATATTTTGATCTTTTTTTCCATTAAAAAAGTTGGAACTTGATATATTTTAGTCTCTAGCTAGAGTAAGAAAGACATGTTTGTGTGTCAAAGATCTTGTGGTCCGGTGGCATTAGTGTAGTCGGCCGAGATCATGACTATATTTCTTCTAAATAGAAGGTCATAGGTTAAAAGAAAGAAGAAATAGTTCTACCCTCTAGTAGTACTACTACGTAATTGTTTCTTTTATTTAGGATGAAGGAAGTAAAATACATTATTACGTTACTTAACATATCTATTTTTTTGAAAAAAACCTCTCTAGTATCTAGGAGTTAGGGGTATGATTTGCTTACACACACCGTACTCTTTCCAGATCGTACTTTTGTGAAATTTTATTGGGTTGCTAGGTTATTGTTGTTGCCACCTTTATGAGTTTCCTAAAAGTAAAATCGAAACGTTAAATATGTAAGTTGTTGATGATAAAAAAAATTTATTTTTAGATGAAAAAAGGCTGAATTCTACTTTTGATCCTTCGATCGAGTTACTACATAATAATAATAATAATAAAGTAATGTGATGTAATCGAATCGTAATTATTATTTAATCATTGAAAAAATATTAATATTATTTTTATTATTTTTTCCTGATCTGATCTGATAAGATCTGATCTAGTTAGATCTAATCTTATTTGATTTTAATAACAATAAGTAATAAGCAAAAAAATAGGCCTTGCAGAACAGATCCTAAATTAACATCATGTCAAGGGGATGTTTTATTAGAATCACCCTAAATAGGACTAAAACGTAGAAAAAGTATCAAAATATAAGTACCATGTTTTTATTTTGAAAATAGGACTTTGTACTGTGATAATGTAGTTGTAATTAAATCGATGAGTATTACTCCATCAAGCACATTCAACATAGTAGACAATATGCACGCAGAGTGGATTGCTTGGACGTTGAATTTGCAAAAATGTCTACGCGATCGACCAATGGACATTAACAAGAGGCACGGCCTTGAACATTATTAGAGGAGACAGTGTACATTTAAATCGCGATGGACATTAAGGGAGTACGTGAAAGTGCGATTGACGACGGTGGAGGCTTGGAACACTACGTATGATGCAAATTAAAATAATGCACCTTGGAGTACGTACTATGAAGGAGCAGATTTGTTGCCAATATATAATGGAGGACAAGTGACAAGCCAATTACACACGAGTAGTTTTTTTTAATTGTTTTGTTAATTTCCTTAAGCTTGGGAGGCCGTGACGAGTGAACATTTAAATTGGGACATAGTACAATAATTGTAGTTAAATTCAATGAATTTCGTAAATATCAACTGCTGTAGTATTTTCTGCCATTTCAATGAGAACTACAGAAAATTCAGATATTATTTACCCCAGCAAACGATCTCATCCCAACAATCTGCACACATTACCCTTTGCTTTCAACAGCATTACTTCAAACAGAAAATAAGGCTAAAATTAGGGGAAAAGAAGATACAGATTGAAGAATATAGCCCACGAGAGATGAACTCACTTCACCTCTGATGTGTTGTCTTATTAACAGTAAAAATGGGGAAACGCTTGCATCCTCTCCGATTCCCAAGCAGGATAACAAGACCTTTGGAAGTTACTTGCCTGCCGCTGCCGAGGAAGCAAACGTTGTTCTTCAGAAAGATCAAGTCTTGTAAACACGGAAGGCATTGTTTTCCACGGAGGTGCACGGGGAAAAGGGTGGTAATACACTGCAGGCATTGTCTTCATACATGTTTGTATGAAATTCTTGTTTTTGTCAGATGCCAAGTTAGAGCAGTTACTACCTGTTAGATCTCTGGAAGTGATTGAACTGTCGTGCGCCTGCATTTTGAGATAATCAAATGTGAGCAAGTCTTCTTCATCGGGCAGGCATAATGCAGCTTCTGAATCATCATTGTCGGTATTATTATCAGCTATGGTAGAGGGGAGAGAATCAGAAGATGATGGGTTTTCTTCGGAGTTAGCCATCTCAAGCTCCCCAGCAAGGATCGAAGTCTTAATGTCGTTATAGTTCGTGTCGTAGGCTCCGGAGGCAATGAGGAGAGAGGTTAAGAAGCTATCGTTTGTGGCAGAAGGTGGCATGTTAATGATTGTATCAACTGAACTTCCAATTGAAGAGGATAGAGCATTGTTCTGATCGACTTCGGTTCTAGGGATTGGATGTGGACAGAGTTCCAGCTCAGAATTTCCCTCGGAAAAAGCCTTAAAAATTGCATCGTCCACATTGGACACAAAGGGGCTCTGAAAGTTTGAGACAACAAGTTCGTACCATTGGACGACAAAAGGTTAGTATAATTGCAGGCTGAAAACAAATATGCTCGTCTTTATAGCAGATAATTCTTCAGTTGAGATATCTAAACTTTCACAAGTTTGTGTAAATACCTATGAAACTAATGACAAACTTGGAATATGTATGAGTGTGCTACTAAGAAATTGGAGATTGACTACCTCGATTGCCAATAAGCAGTTGCTCTTGCGATCCCCTACACAGTTGTGATGCCCTCCTATGGTCCTTGAAGGAAATGTTGAATTGTACCCTCCCATACTAACATTTGTTCTTTTATTTTGAGCAAGAGAATCTATAAGTCCACTTCCCTGATCAGCTTTGGTGACTTTGCAAGACAGTTCCCTCTCACCCAAAAAATTGTCAGCAACTTCTTTGCTCAACATAATGTGATGTGGAAGCGTATTCGTATGCATAAATAGATCCTCTTCAGCACCAAAGTTAATCACTAAATTTGGGTTTTCAGATTTGGTAGTGCCATCCTGCAATAAACCAAAACTTATTTTCACACAACATTCTTAACCCTTATATAGATTGTTTATGTATAAATATTTGTAATACTATAACCAAATTCCACTAGGTTTTCAGTTACTTTCCATACCTTATGGGTAAGTATAGGAAGGTAAGGGTTTTCACTCTTCCCAATCTGATTGTAAACTGGGCCATGTTCTTGAGGTTTTGGTCCAATTACCCTTGTTGTATCCCGCTTCCTGGAATCTGCATTAACATTCAGTTACTCAACATAAGCTACTAGATACATTTTCTTTGGTGTTATCCATCTCAAGCTCACCGGAAAAAATTGAAGTGTTGATGTCTTTATAAACTGTGCCATATGCTCCAGAAGCAATGAGGATAGAGGTTATGAAGCTATCATTTGTATCAAGAGTGGGCATATTAGCAATTGTATCCACTGAACTTCCAATTGAAGAGGATAGTACTTTGTTCTGATCAACGTCGGTTCCAAGGATTGGATTTGGACCAAGATCCAGCATAGAATTTTGCACAACTTCCTCTGAAGAAGCCTTAATCATTGCATCATCCAGATTGGGAACATAGGGCCTCTGAAAGTTTGAGACAACAAGTTCATACGATTTGGACAAATATGCTCGTCCCCATAGCAGAACACTCTTTAGTTAAGATATATAAATTTTCACGAGTTTGATTGCATAAATACCGAAAAAGTTAACCATAAACAACTCAGGTTATGTATATATGAGTGTGTTAGTTAGAAATTGGAGATTGACTACCTCAATTGCCAATAAACAGTTGCTCTTGCTATCTATAGCACAGTTGTGATGCTCTTCTAAGGTCCTTGAAGGAAATGTTGATTTGTTCTCTCTCATACCAACACTTGTGCTTTTATTTTGAGCAAGAGAATATATAACTTCACTCCCCTGATCAGATTTAGCCACTTTGCATGACGGTTCCCTCTCACCCAAAAGATCGTCAGCAGATTCTTTGCTCGAAATGAAGGGCACGCCCAATCTTTTGTTTATGAGAGGTGGAGAAGTCTTCATATGCATTAATAAATCCTCTTCAGCACCAAAGTTAATCACTGAATTTGAGTCTTCTGATTTGGTATTGACATCCTGCAGAGAACCAAAACTTATTTTCACACAACCATCTTCACCCATACATACAGAAAGGAAAGACTATTTATGTATAAATACTCCGTATCTTTGAGCATTATAACTAATTTTAACGGAGTGTTTAGTTACTGTGTTTACCTTACAGGTAGTTGGGGGACGGTAAGGGTTCTCACTTTTCCTAAGCTGATTGTAAACCTGGTCATTTTCTTGAGGTTTTGGCCCAATTACCCCTGATGTATCCCACTTCCTGGAATCTGCATTAACATTCAGTTACTCAACATAAGCTACTAGCTAGCTAGATCACTAGATCAGTATGAGGCTCTTGTGCACAACAGTAACAGAAGTGCTGAATGCAATTCCCCCTAATAATTGTATGATGAAGTCATAAGTTGTCGCTTCCAGCCAGCTAGGACAATACCTTCAATCAATTGATCGAAAGCATTTAAAATTTTTGTTTGGGATGTTTCTTGGGTGGGGGTTGTGGGGGCAAGAGGATCACATTTTTGCTCTTACATTAGATTGGTCCAACAAATTCAACACTTTCTTATATAGGTATCTAATAATTCAGAACAAACAAAACAAAACAAAACAAAACATCTAGCATGATGAGAAAGTTATGTTCTGAGACCTGAACCAGTATGTCCACTGAGAAAGCACACTTCCGTTGACCTGCAAGTTTGATTCTCCCATCTTCCTAAAGGGCTATGAAACTTTCTAAACGAACTACACCTAGTGCATTGTAATGATTCATTGTTACGGTGGCTATAGCATGACGTTACAGCAGTATTGGACTGCAACCTTCCTTGTTCATCATCAAATTCACTGTTTTGGGTTGAACATACAAGTAAACAAAAATTAGTAGAATATGAAAACAAGCTAGATGAACCACATAAATTAAACAATGAGCAATGTCTAATAAATCATCACATACAGCATTAAGCACTCAAGGTAGAAGGCATGTAATACAAATAAATATCTGCATCTAGATAGATGTTAAGCGAAAATTACTTTGAATCTATGAGCTACATGAAAACAAATGCGTGAATTCAAACAAGTCGGTCCGCCAGCCACAATCATGATCAATGAAATTCATAATAGACATCAAATCTATGACTAATCTTAAAGGATAAAAAAATCAAACTAGTAGAAGCATCAAGGGGTCATAAAAGGAAAACCATACTCGAAGACCAAAAAAAACAGAAAAATTTATCAGCCAAATCATCCACATTACCATAACACGGAGATGTCAAAATCCGGAGGGAATGCTTTACATTGCTCCAATCCACTGAATGACAGTAAGTGTGATCTTGTATATGTAATTTTCAACTTTCCGCATCTTCAAAACAAGTACAGGAATAAAAAAAAGCTTTAGAAATAAGTAGCAAAAGTTTCCAGCAATCAAAATTCTAACCAGCTGCTTTATTATGGAGTATATATAAACATAACGCAAATCATTGTTTTACTTTAAAATATCTCGATGTTTTCCCTCCATCTCAGACAGCTCATTCATCTATCAGCCTTCAATATCTAAACCTGCTCCTCAATTCGTTTCTCTACAAAGTTCAACATAACAACACAAGTCAGTAATTTTCCTCCAACGAACTTCACGTTCCACGAGCAAAAGCTTCGAATCACACATTCTCATGAAATCCGATGTTTGATTTCATCATTTTCGCCGTTCAATGCGGTAATATCAACTCCAAATCGATTTTTGAAAAAAGTAGAGCAAAAATAAAAAAAAATTATTCGCATGAAGATTGAAGAGAGAAGAGGAACTAAAGCTCCATTACAGGGACGAAATGTGCGAATATTTACTTGAATCTGTACAGAGGATGAAGGCCGCATTGCTGCGAATCGGAGACGAGGGAAGTAGCAGAGGATGATCAAATACGGGCTTGAATGAGCTTTTTTTTTTGCTGTAAGTGGAAATATACAGAAGGAGAGGCTTATATGATGCCGGAGGGATGAAATGCAAGCTAAAGCAAAATGGTGGGGTTGAGCGGATTTGTCATTTAGAATGAGATGAGGAGTACGGAGTATTTTGAAGCACATTTGTACTGCGGCTGAATGTTTGAAAATGGAAATGCTTAGAAATAAAGATAATACGAATATCGTTATAAACAAATGATAGAGATATATCTTGATAGCACAAATCAAAGATCAAAGTGTAATGGAGAATCAAAAAAGAATAATGCAAAAGAGATCAAAGAGAATGATATATAATTTCAACACATAGAGCCTCTATATATATAGGCTTACAAAGGGGAAAGCAAAAAGTCTAATTTTAATGAGGATTATCAAAAGACATGAAGAACATCAAAAGACATTTGTACATAACACTCCCCCTTGGATTTTGGATGTTCACCATTTAGGTAGACTTGAGCTTAAGACACTGCATCGTTAAAACCTTGCCAAGAAAAACCCAATGGGACAAAAACTTGGACGAAGTAAAAAGAGTACAGTGCTTATAATGCTCCCCCTGGACATGGCAAAAGATCCTTGAGTTGACGCATTCCAATACCATTGATCATCTTCCTAAATGTCGTAGTTGGCAATGCCTTTGTGAACAAATCCGCAAGGTTATTGCATGACCAACAACTTATGTGGGTTAGAAAGATAGCCAGCATCAGCGTAACCAACAACTTGCGATTCTGAACCTTTTGAATAAAATAGGCCCATATCGGTTGTTCCACGAAGATAACGTAAGATATGTTTAACACCATTCCAATGTCGTCGTGTTGGTGCTGAGCTATATCTTGCCAACAAATTAACCGAAAAAGCTATATCAGGTCTTGTACAATTTGCAAGATACATTAGCGCCCTTATAGCACTTAAATAAGGTACCTCCAGACCTAAAAGTTCTTCATTATCTTCTCGAGGACGAAAAGGGTCCTTCTTTACATCCAATGACCGAACAACCATGGGACTGCTCAATGGGTGTGCCTTATCCATGTAAAATCGTTTTAGGACCTTTTTCGTATATGTTGATTGATGGATAAAAATTTCATTCGATACATGCTCGATCTGCAGGTCGAGACAAAACTTGGTTTTCCCAAGATCTTTCATTTCAAACTCTTTCATTAAATAGTTTGCAGTCTTTATTAACTCTTCTGGTGTTCCAACAAGGTTTAGGTCATCTACATATACTGCTATGATAGCAAATCCAACTTCAGATCTCTTGATGAAAACACATGGACAAATTGGATCATTTATGTAGCCTTCTCTAACAAGGTATTCACTAAGACGGTTATACCACATTCTACCAGATTGTTTCAATCTGTATAATGATCTCTGTAACTTGATTGAGAATAACTCACGAGCTTTCTGATTGCATGCATCAGGAATTTTGAATCCTTCGGGGATTTTCATGTAAATCTCATTATCTAAAGATCCGTACAAATATGCTGTAACAACATCCATAAGACGCATGTCAAGTCTTTCAGTGACTACTAAACTAATCAAATAACGCAATGTAATTGCGTCCACCACAAATGAATATGTCTCATCATAATCGACTCCAGGCCGCTGTGAAAAACCTTGGGCAACAAGTCTTGCCTTATATCTGAAAATTTCATTTTTCTCATTGCGTTTCCGCACAAATACCCATTTGAACCCAACGGGGTTTACACCTTCAGGTGTTTGAACTATAGGTCCAAAAACTTTACGATTTTCTAGATATTTTAACTCATTTTGCATTGCTTCTTTCCATTTTGGCCAATCATTTCTATGTCGACATTCTTCTACAGATTTTGCTTCAGGATCCTCATTTGTAATATTTAATGCAACACTATAAGCAAAAATATCATCGATGATCACCTTTTTTCTATCCCAACTCTCTTTTGTACTCAAATAATTTAGGGATATCTCTTCAGATCTCAAACCTTCTAGACATTCCTCTTCAGAGGCATGTACCTCTTCATAGGTCTTTCCTTTAACAATTTCAGACTGATCAGTCATATTTTGTATAGCATTTTCTTGATTTGAAATATTATTATCATTTGAGATCTTCATCTCTTGTACCCTTTTCTTTCGAGGATTCTTATCTTTCGCACCAAGGGGACGTCCACGCTTCATGCGTGGTTTTAGTGCTTCATTATTTTGTTCCTCTGTGACGTCCACACGTGTAGGTGTGTTAATAACTGGTATATGAGATTTCGTCACATTTTTTGTATCAGTGAATGCATCTAGCAATTGATTTGCAATATTTTGCAAATGTATTATTCGTCTCACCTCTTGTTCACATTGATTCGTGTGTGGGTCCAAGTAAGACAAAGATGGTACATTCCAAGTAATTTCACGTTGTTCTATAGGAATTAGGATTTTATCTCCCCCTAACCGTGGAAAAACTGTCTCATCAAAATGACTATCAGCAAACCTTGCTTTAAACAAGTCGCCTGTCAATGGTTCAATGATAGATGGGGAATCGAAACCAACGTAAATTCCTAGTCGTCTTTGTGGGCCCATCTTTGTCCATTGAGGTGGAGAGATAGGAACATACATCGCACAACCAAATATTTTTAAGTGAGAGAGATCTGGCTGCTGGCCAGAAGTCAATTGCAATGGTGAGTAGGAATGATAAGAACTTGGTCTTATACGCACCAATGATGCAGCATGTAATATGGTCTTGATTGGATAATCAGGAAACTGTGCTCTCAATTTAATTATCTGAGCAAGGAGTTTAGCAAAAACTGTTGTACGTGATGACAACAAACATACATGAGACCATCTTGATGAGGCATCTAGTAAGACCATGAAATAACGAAATGGTTCACAAGGTGGGTTAATAGGACCACAAATATCTCCTTGAATACGCTGTAAAAATGTTGGACACTCATTGCCAACTTTCATCAGGGATGGCCTTGTAATTAATTTACCTTGTGAACATGCTATGCAAACATATTCATTAGGCAAAGGGATCTTATGGTTCTTCAAAGGATGCCCATTGGCGTGCTCTAGTACACGACGTATCATGGTCGATCCAGTGTGACCAAGTCGATCATGCCAAAGCATAAATTCTTTAAGGGTCACTGAACTTCTGGTTCACGATAACATTTGATTCGATGGCACTAATTGTGGTATAATACAATCCAGATGAGAAAACTGGAAGTTTTTCTTTTACTTGCTTTTGCAATGATTCGTGTATGTGATACAAAGGTATTCTGTACCTCCTTCGTTCATAGTTTCAACATGAAACCCATTAAGTCGTATTCTTTGAAACTTAATAAGTTTCTTTTTGACTTAGGGGAGTATAATGCCTCTTTTACAACAATATTGGTTCCCCCGGATAAAATTATATTTGCTCTTCCATAGCCCTCAATTAACTCCGTAGTACCAGAAATTGTACTAATATTTGCTTTTGCTAACTGCAGACCTGAAAAATACTTTTGATCTTTAAGAATTGTGTGTTGTCCCACTATCAACCAAGCAAACATCTTCATCTTTTAAGTTGTTCATGGCCTTTTGTTTTTCCATCTTGATAGCATACATAAATAAAAATAAGAAAAGTAAGAAGTCATGATTTTTTATTAATAAAAAAATATTATTCATGATGACTCAAAACTTGAAATTGGAAATACATATTATTTTGTAACATAAAATAAACTCGACTGAAAAGGACACAATAAACAAGACTTGAAATTAAAAATAAATATTATTTTGCAACACAAATTAAACTTGACTCAAAATCACTCATCCTTAATCTTATTTTGGCTAACTGAAGGATCACCACCATAAAATTTAGCCCCATTAAAATCACGACTTGGCTCAATCAGAAAATCATCCACATCAAAATGAGTTGCTTCCATCGGCTCACTTGTAGTATCAAAGTCATTGTCAAAATCAACAAAATTTATCTCCTTTCCTTTTCCATTTCCTTTGGTAGATGCTAGATAGAGATCAACAAGGTGCTTTGGTGTACGACAAGTACGAGACCAATGACCTTTCACTCCACATCTGTAACAAATATCATCCCTTTGTTTTAAAGCATCACCTTTAATTATCTTCCCCTTTTCTTGTTTTTGGTCATTATTTTCCCACTTCGAGTGGTTTGGTATAGATTTCTTGCTAAAAACATTGTTGTTGAATCCTCCTCGACCTTGCCCATAACCACGACTGAAACCACGACCACGACCGCGACCACAAGCACGCCCTCGTCCACGGAAATTAGCATTCGCTTCTGGGAATGAATTGATTGCATTCACTGCGGGGAATGGTTGAGAGCCAGTAGGGCGAGAGTTATGATTTTTCATGAGAAGATCATTATTTTGTTCAGCAACAAGGAGACAAGAGATAAGTTGAGAATACTTAGTAAATCCTTTTTCTCGATACTGCTGCTGCAAGAGCATGTTGGAGGCATGAAAAGTGGTAAATGTTTTCTCTAACATATCAGCATCAGTGACGGTGTCTCCACACAACCTTAATTGATATACAATCCTAAACATAGCAGAATTATACTCTTTTACTGTTTTGAAATCTTGCAACCTTAGTTGCATCCAATCATAACGAGCCTTTGGAAGTATCACACTTTTTAGATGGTTGTATCTCTCCCCCAAGTCACTCCAAAGAGTCGCAGGGTCTTTGACCCCAATATATTCGGACTTCAGGCCTTCATGAAGATGATGACGAATTAAAATCATTGCCTTTGCTTTTTCTTGTTTGCTAGCCCCACCATTTTCCTTAATAGCACTTCCAAGGTTCATTGCATTCAAATGAATCTCAACATCAAGAACCCATGTCAAATAGTTTTTTCCGGAAATGTCAAGGGCAGCAAATTCAAGCTTGGTGAGGTTACCCATAACTGAAAATAAATTATAAATAATTGTTATTTAGAACCATGTGGGCTCGTTGATCCTAACCTTTAGTCATATATTTCATGTTGGTTTTTTTTGTAATTCATTACCAGAATCTACTAGTTGAAAAACAAATGTATATGTAAATTGCACCACACAAGACAATTTTATTTATCAAATAATTCTATTTGTACATTTACAACGCACATATACACATATAGCAAATTAGTAGATTAAGTTTTTTTATTATTATTTTGAAAAATCAATCAATTAATGTGTAGTGATTGAATAATAGGTTTTTTTTTAATAAAAACGGCTTAGGCACTTGAAGGGTCTCAATTATTATTATTATTATTATTATTATTATTATTATTTATTATGCATTATTATTATTATTATTATTATTATAGTGGAGGTTACAATTAGAGAAAAACTATGGACATAATGATAAATTAAAGCACATTACATAATCACAAATAATAAGTCTATAATATTAATATTAATATTATTATTATTTCAATGTTGCATTATAAATAATAATATCACACACACACATTCATGCATGTGGCATACTCAAATCTTCAGGTTTGAGTTTTCATATTAATGCTTCGAGCATAATATGAAATTAGAATATGAACTTCAAGTTCACTAGCCAAAAGAGAAAATAACCAAAGAATTGAAAATCTTTCGACATAATATGTACTCAAACTTCAGGTTGAGTTTCATCATATAATCTTCAACTTTAACACATAATGTAGGTTTCACATGCCAATTTTCTAACATATTTAGGAGCTTTTAGATTCAATATATCTACAAGTACACTAAAAAAACTAAAATAAATAAGTGTATATGTATATGTATATCAATAACATGAATATGAACAAGGACAAGAGGGGGAGTAATTTCTACTCCCTCCGTCCTAAAACTTTCTTCCCAGTTTGACTTTTCCCCATTTTTAATTTTTGGTTTTGACTTCAAATTTTACCCTCCTTAAAAAAGATTTTTTGCAAATTTTTTTTTACAATAATTCAAAATATAGAGTTAGAAGATAATTGGTGTAAATACATGAGGGTATTAATGTCATTTGTTATCTTTTTTTTTCTAATGGGAAGGTAGTTTTAGGATGGAGAAAAAAGGGAAATGGGAAGAAAGTTTTAGGACAGAGGGAGTATAAAATTAGAATTTTTTTTTGCTATCGTGCTGATAACGTGTTAGAAATAAAGATAATACGAATATCGTTATTAAAAAATAATAGAGATATACCTTGATAGCACAAACCAAAGATCAAAGTGTAATGGAGAATCAAAGGAGAAAGAATGCAAAAGAGATCAAAGAGAATGATATATAATTTCAACACATAGAGCCTCTATATATATAGGCTTACAAAGGGGAAAGCAAAAAGTCTAATCTTAATGGGGATTATCAAAAGACATGAAGAACATCAAAAGACATTTGTACATAACAGAAATGAGCTTTTTTTGTTTATTAACTTATTCTAATGACTTTGGGCATAGTTGGCGGTGTAAATGTTGTTTTAGTCACCTATGATATGATATGTTTGTAAAATTTATAGTTTCAAACCCTCCTAACTTTTCGATAAATCCTTCCATCCCGGCCTGATGTGAATTCATCTCACGACCCCATCAATTTCTTCGTCCAAATTTAGTTGACTTTTAGGTCAAATATCTTGACATCAAAATCAACTAAGTTTGGCATGGAGTTCGAGTCACGCTAAGGTGAGGAGGTTAGGAGAGATAAAATCCATCAATTTTACGAACCGTGTGTCATATGTGTCTCAATTAGAGCAAGTGTCATCCGTTGACACTCAAAGTGAGTGAATTGAACAACATCAAATTGACTTATTGTTAAGTAATTTTTAAATTATAAATTATTTATTGAAATATTTTTGTTAAGTGACTAAAATAAGAGCTGATTTATTTATTCATAAAAAGGATAGCTTAGTTATGTAAATGGTTTGTGAAAAAAGAAGAAATGAAAAAAAAATGACTTAAAAATCTTCTATTACACGCAGAGAGTAATTTGATAAATAAAAAAACAAAAAAAAACAATTGTACAACCCAAAAAAACAGTGAGAAGGAAATCATTGAACAAATGGAGTATATCATTAACACTCCTTATATACTCTTTATACAAGCACTATTTTTTATTGTTGTTTGATCTTTGATCTTTTTTCTCACATTGCAACCAGTCAATCAAATGGTAAAATTCAAACTTTAGGCATTACATTCCAATTCTCGTGCTCCGGTCCATGTTTTGCGCCCAAGCTGGCGCTAGGGAGCCCGTTCGTGCAACGACACAAGACCCGCAAAAGGAGAGCAAACGCAGAGAGTAATTTGATAAATAAAAAAAACAAAAACAAAAACAACAACAAAGAAACACACTTCGGCGCCGGGCAATCTTAATGAAGACCTCATTAGAAAAACCATTTTGGCCTGATTTCACATTCAGCTTCAGTCAACTCCCTATACTCGTACCATTTGGCGCCAGCTTTCCCTACGGGCATTGGTGACCGAACAAATATCTCAACTGGCTTAGGAACATGCACAACAAAATCTAACTCCCCAAAACCTTCTTCTACGCTATGATCCGATGATTTCAACGTAATGTCAACAGGTTCAACAGAAATCCATCCTAGACCTGATACAGCTACATCACATGCAGGCCTACACAAGAGAAAAAAAACATGGGAATTTGGAGAAAATTGGGGGAGAGGAAGAAAGAACTCTCTGGCATTTGATGCAACTATTCAGAACTCACCTTTCTATATTGGTGTACTTCAAGTTTATGTGACGCTTTGTTTCAAGTCCCGTCCAGGCTTCTGCCTTTTCTTTTCCTGTAGGGGGGGTCAATAGAACGCACACTTCCCTCTGCAATAACAAAGTACATCATGCAACATAAGAGAATGCACTAAATGACCATCCAAGAGCAACACTTTTTTTGTTCTATAACACACTAGAAATCAACAAACATTACATTGTAAAACTCGTCCGCTTCTTCAGTAGGAACAATGTGAACTTGCACGGCATTGGGTCCATAAAACATCAAACGCGTCTCACGAAGAGCCTGTGGATGGGGATGGGGGTGAAATTTTTCAAACAAAAAACACGTCATTAGAAGCACAAACACTGTCTGCATGAATCAAGTGAAAAGTTAGGAAGCACAAAGACGAGGTAAAATAACATTTGTTTAACAGTTGCACGAACAATGTGAATAGTTGCATCAGAATTGATTAAGGAATAAAATGAAAACTTTTCCATTATTTGGAGTTATATTCCTTGGTTTACTTCATTGGAGAAGGAAAATGAATAGGTTGAGATGTGAATAAATGTCATGGCACTAACATAATATTTGTGTGTACGAGGGAGTAATAATTTCTCATAAATAGATATAGAGAAATAAGAGAAAACTACCTACAATTAGAATTCAAGGTCCTTATTATAGTATCAGATTAATTACTAACAATAAATTACAATATCGTAATCCACGTGTCATGCAAAAGAAATAAGTATATTACTCCGTATTATTACGCGTTGTTGTTACGATTATGGTTATTATTATTATTATTATTATTATTATTATTGTTATTATTATTATTATTATTTTTATTTTTATTATAGAATGTTATTCCCACTTCAGGACTATTTCCCAAACAAAACAGGCAAGAACATTCTTTAGCCACAACCTTCTGAACATCAATTCGCACAAGACCTCCCCAGAAAATGGTGAATCCCGTCAACCCGCTTGATCTCACTCGATCTGCCATTTGTTTGTCTACATCCATCTGAGAGTTCTAGTCACAATCAAGAGAGAAAAATAAGGAAAAATGACAAAAGAAAAGAAAATAAAACATTGATACCTGTTTACTGTTCAATATGGTCAAAGAAACATATCTTGAAAAGAAATACTCAAGGAAGAACATACTGGGAATACTCGGGCACGAAGCCGACTCTGAGGAGCAAGAGCAGGTAGATCTTCTGAATGAACCACTGCAGCTTGTCTATGATGGAGATGGACTCCAGGTGTATCATACATTTTCTAAAAAAACCAAATGCTATTAGGAAGGTCAAGTTAACAATTTACAGGAAACAAGTCAAGGAAAACAGTTTATTCCGTTTCCAATAAGGAACGTGTTAGGCTGTTATTTGACAATAATTCTGACTCGAAAATGCACCAGATGCTTTGATCAGTCCACTCTTTTTGTGAGTTCACGACTTCCTCTCTTTCCATTTCGGATCATTTATTAAAAGAATTTGCAGAGAAAGTTATCCGATGGAATGTACTTACACCAGCACCTAAGAAAGCATCAATCTGTATTGGACCCAAAGTAGTTCCAGGAACAGCAGACTGAATAGGTTTATATCTTATTGCAGCAGCAGCCACTGGGTCCTTATTTGACATTGTCTCTGGGTTCATCGTCAATGATCAATATTGGAAAACAAGAATAGCAGAAACAGAAGAAGTAAAAGACAGTTCACGATGCATTACTTAACAGGGCGTTAATGAATGCAGATTTTCCAACATTGGCTGAACCCTACAACATGAATAAACAAAAGATTCAACATGCAACCCCAGTTGAAAACCAAACCAAATAAAATAGACTTGAGACAAAGTTTGAATGAATAATCATCTCAATGGATGCCAAACCAACTTTTGCCACTCAAAAACATGTTCTAACCAGAATGTAAACGTCCCTTCCCTGCATGTAGAAACACACATTACTGAAGCACCTTAGTAAAATACAGAACAAGGGATGGTTAAACTATTTCTAAAAAGGGTAAAGTAATATAAGCCTTTTAAGATATAATACACTCAGAGGCCATAAAACATTGATGGAAATGTCAAGACACCCTTAATACATTTTAGAATGCAAATGACTGTTGTGTTGGTTTTGATCATGGTACGTTTGATGTTTGTAGTGTTGTTTGTAAGGTTAAAACCATGGTGTATAGAGTCATGTACAAGCTCTATTCTGATTGTATGACTGATTTCTTACTCCGCCTTGTGATGGCGTTGATTTGTTCCGGGATGCCCGTCCTCTATTGTATTTCTCGCACTTGGTTACTAGCGTTAATCTTTACAGTTTACCCAAAAAAACCAGAATGCAAATGACTCTACTCCAATGGATTCATTAGGAGAGTTCAAAAATTGACTTCCATCCATCTGGTCTGGTTAATACAAAATAACTCAACTTGCCCGCCAGTCTTATATATCACTATGGATCATAATTCCGCTCCCTTGGTCTAATAGTTTGACATTCGGATGATTGGATCCATAGAAGTGTCTACTGGTTTGCATTTAGAACAGCCCAGTTTCTTCCAGGATGTCAAGTACATTATTCGGCTATTCGCTATCATATGGAAACCCCTGTTTTGGACTGAGTAACCTCAATAACAAAGACGTATTGTAACCTTCCTAGATCCATTGTTTGAAAGTGACAAGACAAATGTTATTTGGGACTAACAATTCCTTCAGAGCCACTGTCAGAGTAATATCATCCACACACACTACCTGATAAATAACTGTATGATATGATGAGTGTGTGAACAATACAGAACAACCAACCTTGATCTGATTCGTGCCAAATTTTGTGAATACTTAACAAAACCTGTCAAACCAAGCTTGTGGTGATTGTTTTAAACCATACAACGGTTTCCAAGATTACACAAGATGCCTGAATCCCCCTAAGAAATATATCTTGGAGGTTGCTCCGTATAGATTTAACATTCCCAAGTGCCGTGTAAAAAGGCCTTTATATCAAGCTGATATAATTGTGAATGAGAGAGGTGCTATGGAAAAAAAGGAACCAATAGATGCTATTTTAGAAACATGAGATAGTTCATCACCATAAGCAAGCCAATAAACATTAGTATATCCTTTATCCACAAGACAAGCTTTCAAAATATTGACGGAAATTTATCATCATAATCAAGCCCATAAACCTGACTATATCATTTAGACACGAGACAACTTTCAAATGAGCAACAATTTCTTACAGTCCAACCTTGAATCTAGAAACCCATCTACAACAAACAAGAGGCTTTCCATGGAGAGATGAAACAAGAGTCCAATTTTTATAAGAGCAAGCACATTCATTTGGTCAATCATAGCATGTAGCTAGCCTGGCTGGGAAAGTGCATCAAGGAAGTTTTTGGAATATTATCAGATGATTGAGAAGATACATAAGCAGAATGGGTGGAAGATCCAAGGCATGACTCATTTAGGATTGGAGTTGACAACACTTCTGAAAGGGTCACAATGACAGCACTTGTAGAACTTGACAACAAAGTAGTGTGATGTGGTATTTTAACAGAAGATAGTAAGGAGACCATTGAGGAAGATGGTTAGGATGAACATCAAACCACCATAACCGGACAAAGGGGATGAAAGCTATGCTAGAACGTTAAGTTTATAGATGGCGGAACATGGACAACACGCACTTGGACAAGAGAGAGGAAGATGGCATGTCAGTGGTTGACGGTGATGAGACCAAATTCGGTGATGTAGGGGTGCTTCTCTGCGATCGTGTTTATTGACTTAAAGCAGATAAGCAATTTTAACTTAAAAAAGCTGCTTTTAAGTTATATATTCTTTTGCGGAAGTAAAATGACTTTAAAATGATTGATAAATCATTTCGAGATATTCATAAATGGTGAGGGATAGTTTTGTAAATAATATTGTCAAAACGAAAAAACTAGTTTAAAAATAAGTAGGTAAGACCTACTTTTTTTTACTTATAGCAGTTTATATGTCAGCTTATAAGCACGGAGAAACACGTCACCAACTAACTTATAAGTTAAAAACAGCTAATAAGCAATTTTGATCAACTTATAAACACAAGCGTACTCAGACTGCTCTAAATTAATTTTTCATTTTAGATCAAAGACAAAACATAAAGGGTACACGACTAGATTGAACCTTTCTATGAATCTCATATTAGAAGTGTCTCTTACACTAATTCATTCTCCTAAGACCATTTAAATACTCCTCCGTCCCTAAATGATTTACACACTTTACTATTCAAAAATCGCGGGAACTTTTGTTAATTTGTGTGTTTTCATTGACTATTTTATGAAATAAAATATTTTTGTCACCTCTTGTTTTGTAGAACTTTTGATGTGCTTTTTAAATATGTTGGTTTTATTTTTTATTTATATACCAATCCTTAAATAAAATGAATTGAAAAAAACTTGAAATTTTACTTCGTTTTAGGACGGCGGGATGCTGACGCCCCTGTACGGAGATGCGAGAGGATTACGGTTATCGGGGGAAGGGGTAGACCTAGGAAGAATTGGAAGGAGGTGATTAGGCAGGATTTAGGACTTCTCGACCTGACTGAGGATATGGTCTTAGATAGGAACCTTTGGAGAACTAGGATTAGAGTAGCTGGATAGGAGCTCGGTGCCGTAGAGGTTGTTTAGTAGTCTGTTGTGTTTGTTTGGAATCTTTTGCTATTGCTTGTACTTGTTGCTTGTACTTGGTGCTTTATCCGTGTTATACTGTGTTCCATTCCATATTTTTGTGCAGGTGGAGCCGGGGGTCTCTTAGAAACAGCCTCCCTACTTCCGAGTAGGGACAAGGTCTGCGTACACACCCTCCCCAGACCCTACTGTAGTGGGACTCACCTGGGTTGTTGTTGTTGCATCAGGAGTAAATGGCTTAGGGAGGAAGTAAAAAAACTATACATATGAAGTCAAGAACAACTTCCCTTACTTGAGGAGCTTGGTTCTTTACGGAGTGGACAATGAGTAAAGCAACAGTCCTACTCAATTAGACGCACGAATGAAAAATATTTACAAATGCTACTTAATAGACAAAACATTTCAGCAATTAGCAATATGATATCATGGTGCAAATGACGCATATATATTTATATGTGATATAACCGGTTTGCACCAGTATGCACATCGCCTGAAATCCAGCATATCATGAGGGGCATATTGAAGTAGCTTGTCAATTCATCAGGGAAGCGGTAATGATTGGACACATTTTTGTTAGATTCATTAATTTTGCTAACCAAACTCCAAACATGTTATCATCTAAGAATTGGGTATAGAAGTATATTTGTAACTAGATTTCTGGATATGATCTATATGCTCCAACTTGAGGTGCTGAATATAATAGTGTAACCCTACCCTAACAGTAGCACACTTTGTTCATTTTGCATATCTTGGGGTTATAGGTAAGGACCTTTTATACTGACATGCACTAATGCAGAAATGAATACAATATATTTTCTTCTTATATTCCACAATACCCTACAAGACTCGACAAAATATGCTTAATGATATTTCTAATCAAGAAACAAAGTGTAATAAGAATGCATTATGGATAGAATTAGTAAAGCAAATAAAGCTCGAACATTCTCAAACAACACACGTCTAGTCCAATAATTTAAACAATCCACGATACTATGATAGAACCAAAATGGCATTGAGTTTACCTTCTTCTGCTTTTGTATTTCAGACAGCACTCCACTAATGCCAACTAATGACTTTGAACTTGTTAAATGAACACTCAAAACACTGCACAAGAAGGCCAATATAAGAAACTACACATAGAGAACAGCTCATGTTTTGGCTCGTTTGGTGTTTGTTCATTTTTGTTTTATAATTAAACGAACATAAACTAGATGTGTTTTAAGGATCAAGAATAATAAAATAAAATAAAAAACTTGAACAATGAGAAGCTTGTTTGATAAAAAAACTTATGAACAGCTTGATCTCTATTGATGAAGATGTTCATGAACAAACTCGCTTAAAGCTCCCACAAGGGTAATCATGAAAAGGTTTAATAAATAGTATGTATTCTTTATTTCTTTTATATTTGACTAAATTAGTATGATTTGACATTTGTGATATGTGATTTTAGTGTTTTAATGATGAGAAAATTGGTGAATTTATTTGTTCATTTGATTATTCCTTAAGGGCGTGTCTACTTGCGCATTTAGGGTTCACAAACATGCTCATTAAACTTAAATGAGCATGTTGATGAACAATAAATGAAGGAATTTGAATGCATCTATTTAAACACATTTCAAGTATATATTCAATCGTTACTGGAACTCAATTTGGCTCATACTCGTTCGGTTACATCCCAACATCCATTTGATTTGCATGCAAATATCATGCATAAAAGCAAATGATCCATTACGCTAAACAAAAGTACCCCAACAATGTCTTCAATTAATAATACCCCAATCTTTCTTCCTTTTCTTGGTACAACAGCAACAAACTAAATACAATCCCAACTCCATTTGGGTGTGGGGGTCAAGATATATGTAAACTTACCCCTGAAACAAAGAGGTTGTTTTTGTTAGACCCTTGATGCATTGCCACATTTAGTTCCCAAAACATCATAGAAAGTAAGAAGCTAGGGAAGTTTAGTGTCAATGCGACTTAGTCCATTATTTACCCTGAAGCTAAAACATTGTTGTAAATTATCTTTTAACTGCATTGTCAATACACGACAATAATTGGCTATTCTGTGAGAATCGTGAAACCTCAAGTGAGCATGCCTAATTATCTAGCCAAGGTTTAAATAAGGTTAGCCTAGTTCTAATATAATACTACTGCTTCTATCATAAATTTAAGAGTAAAGCAATTATGTGTTACATGTATGTTGCTTACTTCAGCTTCTTTTTTGCTGTAGCCTCAACGACCCAATCACCAACACAATTAAAATCTGTCTCTTTTGGAAGAAGATCCACCTTTATCAAGCAAAATTAGATTATTTATGTTGAAAACCATAAATATTGAAATGAAACGTGTTTAAAACAAGAGCAATAGTACTAATGTTTACACAAAAGAACTGTCAGCTCTTGCATATTTTACCTTAGTCACAACTAATATGATTGGATTTGCACCAGCAAGATCTCTAATACGAGCCAAAAAGCTGCCGTTGAAATCAACAACATCAACCTAAAGAGAGTACAATGTAAATATGTGCCATAAGATAAAAATAAATCTCTTTAATTTCTACTGTAAGTTTACTTGGACAGAAAATGAATACAACAGAAGGATGTAGTATAAGGTGACAAGAGGGTCAAGTAACGCACAATTCGCACACTAAAGGTAGTACGAAATGTATATGACTACTGTGCAAACCACTAATATTGGAATGCTAGTATGTACAGTACTATCTTATTTTATGGGACTTAAAAAGCATAATCTATCTGCACAGCATTTTTGAACTCTTACATACTTGGATTTTAGTGTACTTACAGCCTTTTTCTAAATGTACAAAAAATACTGCCAATTTTGCAAACCAAGATACTTTGTCAAATCCTTGCTGGAATCCTCCTGAGTCATGACTGTTTCTTATAAATCAATATAAAATAACTATTGTGACTAATTATTGTCTCATTTGTCGATACCAATTTGACAATCAGAGCTTTCACATGACGCAAATGAGATAACTTTTCCCGAAGCTCTTCTGCTGAAACAAACTGCTTCCCAGCAGAATAACCCCCATGTCCACCAACAGCAGTAATAATGTGGCCATGAGACAATAAGCGGCACCTTCCACAAAGGACTGTCCTTAGCTGATGATGTTTCCTCTTCTGTAAATCCAAAAGGACCATCAAGCAGAATAGCAAATCATTAGAGCATGAAAGAGCCATTAACATCAAGCCATGCATGAAATTTTTGTTTGAGATTCAAATGAAAAACCTAAAAAGTTAAAGTTGCAGATATCACCAGTACACAACATATTTATATTGTTCAAGTACGAACTCAACAAGCATCAAACTGCCACCATTACACTATGCATAGAGTCGGTTCTCAAATAACAACAACCCAATTGAATCCCACCAAAAGTGTGTGGGCAGACCATGCCCCTAGTGGAAAGTACAGAGGTTGTTTCCAAGAGACCCCCGGCTCAAACAGCACAAATATCATAAGATAATATAAGATGACAGAAGACATGTGAAGCACATAAAGCATGGAAAGCACAGAGCACAAGGCGGCAAAGGGTAAACTAATGTTAATGAAGAAAAAGAAAGAAGCACAGAAGCAAAGCACCAGAGGCAGAAAGCACCGGAAGCAAGAAGCACCATGCATATAAAGCACACAACATGAAGTGCATAAACTACCACCTAACCTAAAGTGCCTACCCAACTACCTTAATACTAGCTCCCCAAAACTCCTATCTATGCCCATATCCACGGTAAGGGCTGGAAGTCCTAGCTCTTGTCTAATCACCTCCTACCCATTCTTCTTAGGTCTACCCCTTCCCCTATTCCCACCCACCAACTTAAGCCACTCGCATCTCTGAACTGGGGCGTCAACACTCTATCGCCTCTCAAAGTGGTAAGTAGATGAGTCGGTTCTCAAAGTGGGCTTAAAACATATACACATACAAGCCAACAAAAGCCAGCATTTACAATTAACTAAACAAAGCCCTAACATGTCTGATAATTCAGCTTCAAGCCTTAAACATACAAAGTTCCTTCCAGTGAGCGGAATGACTTCCAAGTAATTGCATACCAAATCATAGGTTTCCTGGTCAACATATCCTGGAACATCCATTTCGGACGACTGTAATGGAGCACCGCACCCATAACAGCTCGGAGCTAAAGTCGAGAATTTGACGACTTTTTCTTTCTTATGCCTTTTCTTCTTTGGCGCGGCAGCCATAGCCGCCGCGGAATGCTGGCGCTGGATGAATATATCTCCTCTTGTCGGAGCTGCAGCTCCTGCTCCGTCAGATTCGGTCCATGACTGTGTGCAGGTGATGACATCGGGTCGGCGTATAGAGACCCTGAATACATACGGTTTGCGGAACGGGATAGGGATAGGAAACGGAGCAAGGGAAGCAGTTGAGGAGAGGGAGAAGGGTTTAGGCGCCATTTGGTTTGATGGGTTACAAGTGTATGGCCATTATTATTGATTCAAAGAAAAGCTAATAAGAGCTTCTCAATGGGTGATGTTTAATACTCCCTTGGTTTGATGGGTTACAAGTGTATGGCCATTATTATTGATTCAAAGAAAAGCTAATAAGAGCTTCTCAATGGGTGATGTTTAATACTCCCTCCGTCCTAAAATTAACTTCTCACTTTCTTTTTTAGGTTGTCCTAAAATTAACTTCTCATTTCCTTAAATGCCAACTTTTTTTGTATTGAATGACAACAATGCCCCCATAACTTATCCTTTTTTCCAACAAAGATCTTTATATCTTGTTTCCATCTCCTTATTGTCAAATGAGCTCCAAGAATTGCATGTTCATAGTACTCCTTCAGATTCGTTTTCATGGGCAACAACTCTAGCAATGAACAAGGTTTTGCACAAGGGCAATTTCATAATCTATTTCTTTTTTCTTTTGATTTAGAACTCAACTTTTTCTTCGATCTTGATTTCCTTCTTTATTTCAATTTCGTTTTNAATTGGATCTATAATTATGACTCTACATCAGATCTGTGAAGGAGATTCAGATTTTTTTTAGAAATGGCCACGGAGCAGCAATGGTTGAGGTGAAGCTTTTGATAAAATCCAGTTGATGGTGATGTTAATGGTGGAGGAGAAGGATGGAGATGGAGGTAGCACGGTAGATCTGGAGGATAATTATTTTTTTCCCTTTATTTTTAAACGGAGTAGAACGAAAGTGCAAAAGGTAGGGGCATATATGGAAAGTGTGAGTAAATTTTACACTTCCTTAAAAATGAGTACCGGTCAAACCGGGAAATTAAATATAGGACGGAGGGAGTAGCATTCACAATTGCCATTCAAAGAAAAGCTACTCCGTAATAAGAGCTTCTCAATGGGTGATGTTTAATAGCATTTGGCAATAAGAAATAAAATGACACACAATGACATAAAAACTTTTAACCAATAAAAAATAGTCCAGTCAGCGTGTGGCATGTTATGCAGTGGCAAGTCATTATTTTTATCAATTTTACTCTTTTTTGCACATTTTAATTAATTAAATTTATTTTATTTATATTTTTTTAAATAAAAAATAAAAATATTTCAAAATTATTTAAATTATTTAAATTTAGTTTGTTTATGTTTTTATAAACTATACTCATTTTAAAAATATTTCTTATTTAAAAAAAATGCGTTTTTTTTTTCAAATTTTACATTTTTTACATATGTCTTTTTACTACAGAGTATTAAAAATGAATTTACTTAGGTTTTTTCCAAAAAAATGCATCTACTTTTTAAAAATCTTTTATTTTATGGAGGAAAAAAAACAAAAATATTACCTCGCCCATTACTTGCCAAGCATGGCAAATCACTATAACCTTGCTAGGCATTCTACTTCATGTGCTTATGTGGCAGGTGTGGCAGTGGCACAGCCACGCCACTGCCATTGCTCTAAGAGCGAATAATAGCAAGGCATATAGTTACGGGATTTGCTACGGTGCCTTCCCAAATAAAGGGGCATGGATGCCCCTCCACCCAATTGCCGTCATGTGGATTGCTAACTACATGGATTGATAAAGCATTTCATACTCCATATCACTTTAGCTTCGAGAAATTGCAAATCGGTCCTCTCCACTTAATGTTAAGTTACTAATCTTTTATGGAGTATTATTTTAACCGTTAAAAAGTTGTTCACTCAATTCAATTTTTAATACTCCCTCTGTCTTATATCTTTTTTCCCGTTGCGTAAAACGAAGAAAAATTCTAAGTTTTTTCAATCTATTTTATTTAAATATTGGTAAAGAAATAAAAAATAAAACATACATATTTAAAAACTACATCAAAAGTTCAACAAAACAAGTGGTGACAAGAATATTTTATTTTATCATATAGGCCATGAAAAAACACAAATAAATATAAATTTCCGTGAAGTTGGAATAGTGCTCTGAGAAGAAAGTTCTAGGATGGAGGGAGTAACTTATATTGTCTTAGTCTCTGTATATTTTTTCAGTTTGACTTTTTAACGTCAAATTGGATAAATTTTAAGTTTGAATTTCTCTCAATTTGTATTGTATATTAGTACAATAAAGTAAAATTTTGAAAGTTCTCATTAAAATAAATCTAAGAAAATCATTTTTATACTAATATTATTAGAGTATATAAAATCAATCATGAGCCACAACCACAAAACTTAAGCTTTTGGTTAAATTGATTCCTTGACATCGTATCAAAGCTTTAATGACTAAGAGGTCACGAGTTTGAAACTCACTGCTACCCAATTTTAAAAAAATTAAAGTTTTACATGCAAGACTTAAAAAAGCCATGCCTGTACGCGAGGGGCATGTTAGAGTTTATAAAATTATTTATGGGCCACAACCACAAACTTGAGCTTTTGGTTGAATTGGTTCCTAACAAATATACATTAAATTTTTGTTTTTATAAATCTCAAAGTTCATCATGTTTGACTCCAAAAAGTCAAAGTAGACAAATACACTGGAATGAAAGAAATATTTGTTTGCATATTTTCATTTATCATTTGATAAGATAAAATATTCTTGTCACATCTTATTTTGTTGAACTTTTGATGTAGTTTTGAACAATGTTACATTTTTATATAACAATTTGCGAATAAAGGTAATTTTAAAAAAGATAAGATTTTACACGTTGTTCAAAATGAGAAGATAAAAATGGACGGAGCGAGTAAATTTTCTTAGAAATATTTACATGAATAATCCAAAAAATTCGTTAAGTGTACGTTAGTAATCCAAAATTCAATAAATTACACTACAGGTCATGAAAATTCTACGTGTTACAATGTTAACTGGTGGCTACAAACCCAGCTAAATACTACGTACATGAGATTTTAAATGTTAACTGAAAAAAGTCAAAATTGAACAAATACTTAGGGACAGATGTAATATTTCATGTGTATTTAGTTGCCAACTCATACTTATTAATTGTTTAATTAATATTTTAAATATCACGTATTTAGTTCAGTTGGCAGCAGCTGGATAAAAATGTAAATATGTACTACTTCTGTCCCTAAGTATTTGTCCAGTTCTGACTTTTTGCAGCCAACTATTTTAAACTTTTCACCTAAAATTAAATAAAATATATATGAAATATTAATAAGATAAAATTATATTATGAAAATAGATTATAAAATAAATCTGATAAAATTATTTTTGTATCAATATCTAATACTCTTTTAATTATGGTAAAAGCTTACAATTTTTTTTGAAGTATTCATGTAATTGTTTCTAAAAAAATTAAAATAAAGAGTACTCAAAAAAATTAATACTCCATAAAAAGAAGTAAATTAACATTAATGATTTTACAATCAATTAAATAACGGACAGAGTGAGGCAGGCCCATTTTGTATTTTCTCAAAGTTGAAGTGATATGGAATTGTTTTTTAATCCACGTAATTAGCCTTCCATATGGCAGCAATTGAGTTGAGGGGCATCCATGCCCCTCCATTTGCAAAGGTACGGTAGCAAATCCCTATAGTTACACGCTGACATGGCGCTGTTGAGCCAAACATAGTCAGTTTAGTCACAGTGGCATGGCATTAGAGTGGTACATCCTGCAATAGCATGTCATTATTTTTTTCTCTATTTACATTTTTTATATTATTATATATTTTAATCACTCGGTTTTACTTTATGGTCTACTCGATACATTTAACTTTTGGTTTTTTTTAAATTATAAATATTTTTACCTATTTTGTTTTAAAAATCTAAATTATACTCGGTATAATTTAGTTATTCAAAAGTAGTTTAGTTTTCTATTTGAAATTAAAAATAGAGTAAAAATAATTTTTGCAAAATGCAAAGGGAAGGACTTTTGCTGATGATTTTCTACTCTGTAATGGAATATATGGAAATTTGAAATAGAATACAAATTAAAACTAGAGTACAAATTAAAAAAGAGAAAACAAAGTAAAGTAGTGGAATAGTGCTTTGTATTTTACGGTGGAAGCAAATCAAAGTACTAGAAGAAGAGTGCTTTTTTTGCCGCTTCTTACCTCGCACTCGCCACGAAAATCAGAGTGACACGCATCATGCCATGCGATCCAATTTTTACTTTGCCCATTGTGCTCCTTTCCTCTCCATGAGTGGCAGTGCGTGGTAAGGTAAGACCTCACCGTTGTCAATGCTCTTAAAGCTTTTTAAAAATATGGGTGGATGTGCAGCACTTACACCAAAAATTGTACTTCAAAGTTACATCAAAGTTCTACAATAACATTTTTATAATTTACAATGACATAAAATGTTGATGCGTTAATAAAAATGTACCCTAACATTTTGTGTCTGTGTGAACTATCACCCTAACATTACACTAACACAAAATGAAAGTGGAAACTTGTGGGGTACAAATTGGGGTACACATAACTTATTTTTATCATTTAGGGCATGTTCTTTAGGACGGAGAGAAAAGAGCTGGATGTTGGAGGAAACTGAAAGGAACTGGAAAAAACTGGAAGAAACTGGAAAAAACTGGAAGAAACTGGAAGAAACTAGAAAAAACTGGAAGAAACTGGAAGAAACTAGAAAACCTAAAAAAACTTTAAAAATATTTATTTTAATTTCTTGTTGTTATAAATTATTATTATTATTATTATTATTATTATTATTATCATCATCATCATCATCATCATCATCATCATCATCACGTTATCTTAGTGAATGTCTTTAAGATATAAAAAAGTATTGTTATTTTTTAAAATACAAAAAAACTACTTTTACAAAAAATAATTATAATATAAAGTTAGAATAAATAGAAAAATATTAAATTTTAAAAAGGCTGTGTAGTTATATTGCACCTCAATTTATTTATGCAGTATTTATTATAAATAATATATTTGTTATTATAATTTATATATTAAAACATTTTGTTTTAAATATCATACATGTTACATAATCAAACCTATTGTTTCTTTCATGATTGACATTTTATTTTCATTGAATTCCTATTTTTGGAATAAAGACATAGAACTTTTTTGTTTACATTTTTTACGTTTTACTCATATTTTAGTCTTTTTCTCTAAGCTCTTTTGACTTACAATTTTTTTTATAAAAATTATAAAATTGAGCAATTTTTAAGTAATAAAGGGAAAATTGAGATGTCTTATAAAAAGTTATATTAATAAAACATTTAATGTAACTATTATATCCTTAATTTTTTAGTATAATTTAACATATTGATGTTTTATTGTTTTATCATGTAGACTAATATACAAAAAATGTCTTATTCATGTTAAAAAGTTGAAGAAAAAAATAATAAGTGTGAATCATAAAAATAGTGAGATGAAAAAAATAATTTATAAACTATAGTTATGAATATAACAGTTGTAGTAGTAGTAATAATAATTATAATTATAATAATTATAATAATAATAATAACAATCACATTGAAATATATCATTTTTAGAGTAATTGGTTGAGGAGTAGAAAGAATTTGAAGAAAATGAGAAAAATTGGAGGAAACTGGAAGAAACTGAAAGGACCTGGAAGAAAACTAGAAGGAACAGGAAGAAACTGGAAGGAAGTGGAAGAACGGGAAGAAACTAGAAGAAACTGGAAAAAACTAGAGGTAACTGAAAGGAACTGGAAGAAACTGGAAGTTAAGAGTTCAAGCCCTAAAGAACAGGCACTTAATATGGATCGCGAGTACTTTATACATAGAGAAAAAGGATTAAACATCCATTCTATTGGATGCATTTAAATGTGAAGCTTAGGATGCATTATTTCGGTTAATCTGATCAGATCTAATTTTTTGAAGTTCTGATCTAATCTGAATTGATCTGATTAGATCTGATCTGATATAAATTCAATTGAAATCAAAATTAATATTATAATAGTAATAATAATAGTAATAGTAGTAAAAGAAATATTAATAATAACAACAACAATAATACTTCGTAATAGTAATAATAGTAATAGCTATAATATTAATAGTAGTAATAATAATAATAGAAATAATAATAATAATAATAATAGAAATATTAATAATAATAATAATATTAATAGTATAGTAATAATAATAACTATAATAATAATAGAAATAATAATAATAATAATGGAAATATTAATAATAATAATAGTAATAGTAATAGAAAAAAGTAATAATTAAAATAGTAAAAATAATTATATTCATAATAATATTAATACTAGTAATAATAATAATAGTAATAATAATATTAATAATAATGAATTAGTCATAATATTAATAATCTTATTAATATTAATAGTAATAATAACAGCAATATTAATAATAATTACAATAGTAAAAATAATTATAATAATAGTAATAGTAATAGTAATAATAGTAATAATAATAATAAATTTGTTTAGGTCTTGTTTGATGAAACCTGATCTGATCTGATCTGATCGAATCTGATCTGATTGCACCCAATTTGGTATGATCTGATATAATCTAATCTGATCTGATTTTAATAAAAATAAGTAATAAGCAGAAAAAATAAGTTGAATGGAACGATGACGTTTTAATTTTAAAATTAATACTAGAACTAGAGTCTGAGTTGCATTTTTTATCCTCCAAGTTAGAGTTTGAGAGTGTGAACGGTGGCATTGTGATGTCAATATATTAGTGTAAATGGTGGAATGTGAAGGTGGTAGTGTGGTGGTCCGGTCAACGGTGGTCAACGCCTATGATTGGCGGTGGCACTCCGGTTGCAGTGTGACAATGTGTAGTGTGAGATTGTCAATGTGAATTTCTATTTAGGGCCTGTTCTTTAGGACTGGAAAAAAAGAGCTGTAAACTGGAAGAAACTGGAAGAAACTAGAAGAAACTGGAAGGAACTGGAAAAACTGGAAAAAATTAAAAGAAATTGAAAAAACTAGAATAAATTGTAAAATCTAAAAAAAGTTTTTAAAAAATTTTTATGTGTGGTTTTAAATTATTCTCATTTTGATTCTTGTTGATATAAATTATTGTTATTGCTATTATTATTATTGTTGTTGTTGTTGTTGTTGTTGGTGTAATAGTTGTTGGTGGTGGTGGTGGTAGTGGTGGTGTTATTACGTTATCTAAATGATTGTCTTTAGAATATAAAAAAAATTACGAATATTATTTTCATACATAAAAAGATAGTTTAAAAAAATAATTAGAATATAAAATTAGTATAAATATCAAAATGTTAAATAGTTAAGAGTTATTATGGCTATATGTATTTATTATAAAAGAATATATTTGTAATTATATTTTTTATATTACAAGATTTTGTTTAAAATATCTGACATGTCACATAATGTAATCAAACCTATTCTTTCTTTAAGGATTGGCAATTTATTTCCATTGTAACCCTACTTTTTGAATAAAAACATAGAACTGTTTTTTTACATTTTTTATGTTATACTCTTACTACATGAAAAGTTTTTCGAAATAAGAGGTGTCAAGAATATTTTATTTTATCAAATAATCGATGAAAACATCGAAATAAATAAAAGTTCCCACGACTATTTAACCATAATTTTTTAAATAGTTTTCTATTTTTTCTTGTAGATTAATATACAAAAAATGGTATTATTCATATTAAAAAGTTGAAAAAAAATAATGAATATGAATCATAAAAATAGTGAGATGACAAAATGAAATAATTTATAAACTATATTTATGAACATAAAGTTGTAATTAAAAAAACTATAATAATAATAATAATAATAATATATTTTTTAGAGTAATTTGTCAGAAAGTAGAAACTGGAAACTCGAAGGAACTGGAAAAACTGGAAAAAACTGGAAAAAACTGGAAGAACTGGAAGAAACTGGAAAGAACTGGAAGGAACTGAAAAAAACTGGAAGTTAAGAGTTCAAGTTCAAAAGAACAGGCCCTTAGACAAAAAGAGTGTTATTCTTACTTTGATATTTTCATTATTTTTTACTTCTTTTTAGAGTTTTCCCTTCTTTTAAGTTTTAATGGCTCAATATACACTCACATATCAATTCTAGATGTTTATTTGTGCCATAAAAATGGATCCGTTCTGGAATGGCCCTTATAACTATAACAATCTCGAAATTTGACCTATGAGACAACGAGATGATGTCGTTCAACAACAACATCACATACTAAAAAATTCAAGAACAATACCAAGGAGATTACTATCAACTAATACCCTACCCCCAGCAGCAGCAACGATGGAGGTTATAATAATAAGAACAACAACAACAAAACAAAACATATCATTTTTAGAGTCATTGTTTGAGAAAACTAAAAAGAGTTTGAAAATAATGAAAATATTTAGAATAAACTTGAAGAAGTTAGAATCTTTTACAAGAGGGAGGGTGCATAATCAAATCATTCATTTAATACGGGGTATCATATATATATATATATATATATATATATATATATATATATATATATATATCCTTTATCCTTTATATATAATATTTGAGAGTTGAACTCTCAGAATTGCGACATTTGGCGTGATGACTGGAATGTTTTTTGACACCTAATCAGCCATGTCATCAAGAGATTTGAATCGAACTTTCCTTCGACTAATTTATGATATAATAAAAGAAATTATGTAACTTAATAAATTTAGTGAAACATAAATATAATATTGCATAAAATAAAAATTATTAATGGAAAAAAGAAAAGTTTCTTTTTTAACTAACAAAATTTTCAGTAAATTTTTTACCATAATATTTTGCTCGGGCTCCAATTAAGCTTAAAAATTAGTCAATTGAATAAAAAGGATATTAAATCATTTTTATAGAAAACAAAAATAAATCAAAACAAACTAAAACAAATTAAAAATGAGAACTTTTAACATTTAGTAATAAAATTTTGATCTAATTATTATTATAATAACTTTATTTAATATAAAAAAAATACTCCGTAACGAATAAAATTTCACATATTTCTTCAAAAATTATATTGACTACTGAACTTAAAACGAATAAAATTTTCTTTTTCATTTACAACGTAACTTAATTATAATGGTAGATAAGTTACACACTTCACCTATATATTAATTTCACATACATTTAATATAATATTTAAAAACTAGATCAAAATATTCTTTAGAAAGAAGAAAAAGTTGAACACAAATAGATGATTAGTTAATTTAAAATATATTTTTTCAGTATAAATTTTAACTTAGTGCAGATTTAAAAAAGTAAATTTTTTTAAGAAAAATGTACAATTTTAATAATGATTAGTTTATATTTAATATTATTCTCATACAAACAGGATATGTTTAAATTAGCCAAATATATAAATATAATGAACACAAAAAAATTAGGAAAAATATGCAATTTTTTTATCTTTTCCTAAATGTATAAAAATGAGACTCAAGTAATTAAGAACTCACATGTGGCTTACTCATGAGCCTCTTTTTAACACCTAATATGTCACATAGATTTTGATGCGGAAAATATGAAATTAAAAGTTTGGTAAATATTTCTGAATCTTTACATATTAAATTTGAGAGTTAATCTCCTAGAATTGCGAGAAGAGACGAATCTACATAGCAACATTTTAATAGATCACCGGCCACCTATTAACGATTGAATGATGTGGCAATTTTAATCAAAATATGAGTAGATCCCATTTAAGTTGTATACGGAGTATATGTCTTATGTACAATGTTGCTATAATTTTTTGGAAAAAATTACTCTGCACCAGAATAAGAATAAACATGGAGAAAATATTGTAATAAAAATACATTTTTTTTCTCTCCAAAATAGGAGTCACCAAATATTGAGAGATTTCTTAGTTTCAAAAAGAAGATATTTGTAATGTATTTCTACCGAAAGACAAAGTTTGTTCTGTATATTGGTGTTTAAGTATACAAAATTGACAAGAAAAGTCAATTGAGAAGATCAAATCCAAACACAAAGGGTGTATTGTTAAAAAAATTAGAACAATACATGAAGTTTTATGCAATTGAGTGAGAACTAAAATTCTTTTTAAAAAAAATTAAAAAATCAACTTCTAAAATAATTAAAATAATAGTATAAATTTTTAAAATCAACTTCTAAAATAATAGTTACATTTTTCACATAAAATTTTTAAAAATTATCACATAAAAATAATCACATATATTTTACATACCAAAATTTTTTTCACTTGATATGAATTTAGTTTCAAAGAGCAAAACAAATATAGTTACAAGGGTTTTCACAAAGAAAAATTACAAAAACATTTAAAAATTATCATAGGTATTTAACTTTTGACTTTATTGAAGTCACAACAAGCACTTTTTAAAAAAACACAAAAAAATATTTGCATGGGATATATACAACAAAACAATATTTGCAAAAAAAAGGAATCACATATTTTTCATTTGAAATTTACTAGCTTAAACATGAGGGGCTAATAAAAGGACACAACACATGAAGATGCCCCTAAATGTACAATTGAGATAAAATTATAATTATTATAACGGAGACCTAAATTAGCAAAAGGCTAATCCAAAAGGGTCATTTTGAAAAATTACTCTTCATTTAAATGTTGAAAATACCTAAATTTTCTCCATTGAACATTCATTTAAGAAACATATACGGAAGACACTGAGTGAATAAATCTCAACTATAAAGTACTTCATAGATAATTAATGCTTCAAAACACTGATTTGGAAAATACATTATTTGAAGAGACTATTTCGAGATTACACAAAGAAATTTATAATTTATAGAGAAATTTACCTAAGTAGGACTAAAACATAATGACTTTCCCAATATAGGACCATATGTTTTTATTTTCCAATGTAGGACCTTTGGTTATTATCAAGTAATCATTATTCAACTAAATGTCCATCATTACTGGACATTATTCCTTCCACTAGGTCATTATTAAGTCCTATCAAGAAAATAAAAAAGTTTAAGTCCTAAATTAGGAAAGTCATTATGTTTTAGTCCTATTTAGAACAAATTTCACTAATTTATAATTAGGTGACTAAAAGACTTAAGACTATATTTTTTAAGGAATAATTATACGTGTCATGATTATATACTTTATTTTTAGGCAAATGGATAATATGTCTACTATGAAATTGACTCAATGCATATCTTACATAAAAATTTTGTTTATGGCAAGATGACTAATTGTGATATGAAATAAAAGTATTTCCATGCAATTTGACTATTTTAAAATATTGATTTTTTAAAATAAACAAATTAAAAAAAAGATTTAATAGGACTTTTAAACTTTATCTCGGTAACTTGGTTTACTATTTTTAATTAAAATAATCTTATATTGTAACTTACAATTTACTCAGTACATACTTATATTATTATTGTGTTAGAATTCAAAATGTTTATAAATAAAATTAAGAAATTTGAATGAGAGAGAACTTACTTCCTACTTTTTCATTTACGCAACCGTACATGGAAACTTCATAACATGATATTTTATGAGACGACACAGATTTATGCAAAGAAGATTGTGACAAAGAAGATCAAGGTGTGGAGGAGAGCGTGAGAAGATTTGTGACAATGAAGATTTAGGATAATCGAAAAATTAGGAAAAATTGTGCAGAAAATCCAAAGTGTAGTAGCTAATAAGTTCGAGACTTAGTTACAGGTTACAACCACATCAAAGAAAATACAATTTCTCATTTGTAACTATTTGTATTTTGATAGAGCATTTTATATCTTGACCAGAATACTATCCCGGCAAAATTATTAGAGCTCTAAGATTTTAATGTTTTTTAAAATAAATGTGGGGGAGAAGAATAATTGATTCTTAATATTTTAAAATTAAATTTTTAATCATAGAGATTTACGATCACTAATTTAAGATTTTGTTTTTTAATAATGCAAGAATGAATAATAACTTTTTATAATCATTGTGGGGGTGGGGGGGGGGGG